TCAATGTTTTCATGCTTTTATCCTGTATTGTTTTTGTATTATTGTCTCTTGGGTATTATTGTCTTTACACGTGTTAAAGCACTTTGTAACTTGTTTTGAAAAGTGCTCTACAAATAAAGATTATTATTATTAGTATTATTATTACAATAAACCATCTCTTTAACCTGCAAACTTGTTATGTCTCACCTCCTTTTTGTCACGGGCTGAGAGACGGCTTGTCTCCTGCAGAGAAAATGTTTCTGCAGTAAAAGTACGTGAGGATACTCAGGACTCAGTATTATGCAGTAAAATGTTGTACTATTATACCTCCTCTCCTCAGATTCTTCTTGGCATGAAAATACCTCAGACGTGTATTAAAGTCTTTGGTGTGAGAGACACGGGTTCGATTCCCACTGTGACACGTCCACCAATGTGTCCCTGAGCAAGACACTTAACCCCTCGTTGCTCCAGAGGCGTGCGACCTCTGACATGTAAAGCAGATCTAAGTCACTTTGGATAAAAGCGTCATCTAAATGAATAAATGTAAAGTACACAACATGAGTAGATGTACTTCGTCACTTTCCACCGCTGGACTCTAAAGGCACAGACAGGTGATCTGAATCCAGCGTAGTGAATGGAGGACTCAGTGAAAACTTCTACATAGAGACACGATTACAGATAGAAATACTTTGAATGGTTTAAAATAAAACAGAAACAGAATTAAAGAGTGAAACCTGACGGCTTCTTACTTTCACTAACTTTAACTGACACATCCAGTTTGTTTCTTCTCCCTCCGTCAGGATGGAAATTAACTCCTATTTTTTCTTCTTCTACAGAATGATTTTTTTTTTCTCATCCTGTTTGAGTCTCACTTCCCAGAATCCCTCTGACTTCCTGGTAAAAAGTGTGTGTGTGTGTGTGTGTGTGATATGAAGCCTGATTGGTCCCTGCAGGGTGATGTGGGTCACAGCAGCAGCCAACAGAAACTCATGCAGACGACAACAAACTACAATAAACTGGAGAGAGGAAACACACACTGAGTCTGTTAATACCTTAATACCACCTTAAACCTCCTGTGTTCAGTTTAAGGTGGAATTCTGACTGAAAGTGAGACTTTATGGGGTAAAAGGCTGAATTTGCTCCTTTAAAGATGCAATAATTTATTTGACCACTTGTTGTCAGCAGAAGCAACCTGAAAACACCTGAACACACCTTCACCTGTTCAGGTGAGACGCCACAGTCAAACTAACTTTATTCACATCACAATGAAACTTGCTGAAAGCTGGAAGGATTGATTTTTATCCCTTTCATGCATGAGCTCGGAAATTAACTGCAATTCTCCATCAATCCACAAGGTGGAGCTGCAACAGAAAGCAAAGCAGAAAAGTCGATTTAAATAAGTGTGAATCTGCAGTTCTGTTGTCAAACAGAACTAATCAGGTCCAGGTGGAGGTCCAGGTGGAGGAGGAGTCTGAGTGTGGAGCAGAAGGAGTGGAGGAGTCTCAGTGTGTCTGCAGAGACTGTGTAGAAGGACAGAGCAGCAGCAGAGCAGTCCAGATCCACTGATGATACTCTGTCACATCCAGAGGAACACACAGGGAGGATGGTGGGAATCGAACAGTAGGTATTGGTCTGTGTGTGTGGGTTTCCTGTCCTCTTCAGTGTGTACAGCGCAGTCCAGGAAGGCCAAACTGTTGTTGTGAACATCTTCTCGTGTGAACTTGATGTTACTGTCCACAGAGTGGATGTGTTCTGTGAAGGCTTTTAATTTTGACCCAGGTGTCGTCCACATATCTGTACCAGTGGCTCGGTGCTGTTCCTCTGAAGGAGTTGAGGGCTTTATTCTCCACTTCTTCATGTAGATGTTTGCCACAATCGGGGATACCGGTGAGCCCATGTCACAGCCATGCTTCTGTCTGTAGAATCCTCCGTTGTACTGGAAGTAGGTGGTGTTTAGACCGATCTGGTCAGGGCTGAGGCTGGTTCTGTTGTCCAGGTCTTGTAGTAGCCGTATCCTTATGGTTTCTACTGCTTTATTTACAGAGACTCCCTTCATCAGCTTATAGTTAGGGCTGACTCATGATTTTTAATATTTAATCACATTAACAATTATATTTCTATAATATGTAATAATATTCTTAATGTAAGAGGAATAGCAACTTTTATCCACCAGGGGAAAATGTTATAAAGGAGGGGAATAAACTGCACTGTTACTGTCATCAACTCTCATCCATACATATGTTCTAGTGAAAATGAGAGAAAGAAAATGAATGCAAGTTAACTGGTAGCCTGTGATCCTGAAAGTCTATAAGCTCCTGATGTATGTTAGAGTTTTACACCTGGCAACATTTTCTCAACACAGACAGGAGGAGGCAACAGGATGTAAGTTTAAATGTTCAGTGACTGAAGGTCTTGAGAGGACGACGTTCTGTCTTCCATAAAGGCCCTTTCAGAAAAGAAGCGGTTTGCACTGTGGAAGCAGCTCAGTGCTAAAGTTCAACTCGCTGTGCGGTGCACGTTGCTCAACGCATCAACAAACCAAGCAACTGAAAATAATGGGTATTATAGCGCAGCGGTGCTGTCGTTGCGTTGGTCTGAAACTTTACACCTGCATGGTTTGTTGCACTGAAAGCTCGACTCTCACAGCAGCGGCATTGATTATAAGTGACATTGTGAGTGTTATATTTAATTCCCTACCAACTTGCTATGTCATTAAATAAAATGAATTAGGCCTACCTTTACTTGGGTAGGTTTTGTGGAGCCTTTACGATTAATCAACCGTAACTTTTTAAAGTGCAGTTAATAGTGAAATCTGTTAATCGCTGCATCCCTTGCTGTTAGGGCTCAAAGCTGTTAAAAACAAGCGGCTCAGTCACATTTGAAGATTTCATCTACTTTTGAAATATTACAGGACAAATCTGTAAATATGGAGTCTGTTCTAAAAATATTTGGACCAAACTAAAGACACATGGACAGACATATATATATGATGTTAAAGGTCCTACATGTTCATACAAAGACTGAACAGCTAAACATCAGCTGTGCTTACTGGACTTCAGGTTCTGGTCTGTAAAAAGACCACATGGTTACTAAATGTAATGATGGTTCTCTGAAATAAGAGCCAGTGATTTGCAGGCTTCAGTCAGACTGATCTCAGAGCTGTGACTGATCAACAGTTTAGTGTTGAAATGAGAGAACAAACACTTTGAGATCAGATTTGATGGTCCGGCAGTTTGATGAATGAGGACCACTGTCTCTATACATCTTGTGATGCTGTCAGCTGGAATCCAGCTTTATTTCCTGGAGACATGAACACAACAACAACAGTCGTCTTCACATCAACTCAAACACATGATCACTGCCTGTTCTCTCTCTCTCTCTGTCTTTCTGTCCAATCCTGAAGCCTGTCACCATTCTCCTCTCACAGCTTCACTGAGGAAAGCAGCGCTGAGAAGGTTGGAGGTTTACAGGAAATACTGGATCTCTGCTTTGATACTAACTGTGTTTAGTACAATACTGCTGAAACCAGCATGGACTGACTCCAACCCTCTACTGACCTCAGAGTCTCCAGAATCTCCAGTCTGCAGTGTGGACTCTTCTTCAGATCAGACAGCAGCTTCATTCCTGAAACCTGATGTTCCAGCTCAGGTCCAGCTCTCTCAGATGGGAGGGGTTGGACTTCAGAGCTGAGTCCACGACTTCACAGTGAGGCTCTGAGAGTCCACAGTCACCATGTCTGGGATGACAGAGATTATAAATTTAAAATATAATAAAATCTGACACTTTATTATAAAAACAGACTCTATGCATTTTGTATCACAAAGCACATTAACATGAGCGGCTGCAGCTCAGCTGCTCAGCCATTGATCACAAGGTTTGTGGTTTGAAACTTGAGCTCCTGTCCACATGTCCAAGTGTCCTTGAGCAACATAATGAACCACATTAATACTGCTTTGGACAAAAGTATCTGCCAAATGACGGTAAGTAAGTCAGTAAAGTTTATTTGTATGGCACCTTTCACAGAAGAAAATCACAAAGTGCTTCACTATAAAATGTAATATAATACAACAAAGTAAAGTAAGAAAATTTAAATACAAATGGAAAACATAGAACACAAACCATAAAAACTCCGCGTCTAACTAAAAGCCTGCTTGAATAGCAGAGTTCAGTTGTTTTTTAAAAGAATCAACAGAATTCACAACATAGAAAGGTAGGCAAAGCATTCACAGCCAAGGTGCCACTGTGGAATGATTGATCTCCTCTGGTTTTAAAATGAGTGTAGGGAACCACTAACAACCTCTGACCTGATGACCTCAAACTACGGGTCGGAGTGTGAAGCTGGATCAAGTCAGAGATGTAGGGAGGAAGCAAGCAGTGAGTGGTAGCGTTAAAGAAACGGATGTTTCTGGTTACGGAGTCACCAATTATTAGTGTGGTTGGGGAGAAAAGAGGACGAGGAGATGCCGGTTGTGGGGTTCCATGCTTCAACACTGCGTGCGGACTGAGGA